GACTGGTCTAAGAGACTGCAGTTGCAGTAGTGTCACACTGTACAAAAAGTGTCAGTCCATTCAAGCACCCAAGAGAAATCTGGACCTAGGAGAAAAAATGGAGGTTACAACATAATTAATGTTAATTAGCATTATTAGCACAGTTAAAATAAGCATTTTGTAAGAGGGATTGTCTTTAAAAATAAAGAATCAGTGGACAGAATTTCAAATTTCTTTTTATTCCCCCAATAGAACCTCTTTGGGATCATTCATTCTTTAGAGGGGGAGGAGGGGGAGCTGGAGGAATAGCTGTTTGCATGTGCCCCATTTGCTTGCCAATCCATATCCACGGAGGAATTTCTCAAAAGACCCCCCTACACCCAGAAATTCCAATGTTATTCTATACAAAGTTACTCTGTTTTTTTTCTTTCTCTGACGCCTCCCCCCTCATAAAATCTAATATAAAATATTTAGCCTAATATTAATATTAATTGTTATTATAAAACACAAAAAATAATTTGGAAAAAAAAAACAGGTTTGTGTTTAACTTGATTAAATTTTAACCTTAGCCCTGACCCTTTTATTGAGCATGGAATGAGAGTACCAAGAGAACAGCAAAATATACCCAGCTTTCAAAAGCTGAAAACACCTATGCAATGTAATTTAAAACCAAAATAAGCTTCCATTATGACTGGGTGCAAATCCTAATCTTAATCATTATAATATGACCAATCAATCAAATAATTTATGGCCCAAAAACAACCAAACTTAAAAATACATTAGAGCGACTGCCACAAACTCTAGGAATAAAATGACAAGAAGATATTCATTTTACCCTTGATTCACAACTCACATTGAATACTTATGAATGATTTGAAAAAAAATTTTGCTCTATTTCTTTATTCCACATTCAAACATGCTTATGATTTCAAATAGTTTGCTGCAATCATTCCTCAAGTCAATTTTATTATGGTTTTTCATCATCAAAACTTGTATTGAAATGACACACAGTTGTGAGACACTGACCAAAGCAGTAAATGACAACCCATAAAAAAGGTGAATGAATCTTTAACACACCACTCGATGCTGACACCTCCATTACATGAGCCCATACTAAAGGTTAATGTATCTTTAACATGACACTTGATGCCAACACCCCCATTACATGAGCCCATACTATAGGTTAATGTATCTTTAACATGACACTCGATG